TGCTTCTCCCTCTGCTTATGTCTCTGCCCCTCTGTGTCTCTCATGAATAAATAAATAAATAAAATCTTTAAAAGATTTATTTATTTATTCGAGAGATAGAGAGAGACCAAGAGAGAGGGCAGAGTACATGGGGGGGGGGGGTTGGGCAGAGGGAGAAGGAGAAGCAGACTGAGGAGAGAGACCGAAGAAGGACTCAATCCTGGGACCCTGAACAGAAGGCAGATGTCTAATGGACTGAGCCACTCAGGCTCTCCTTAATTATTTTTATCTTATTATTTATAAAGTAAGCTTTTTTATTGAGACATGATTGCCATGTAACATTGTATTAGTTTCAGGTATAATGATTTGTATTTGTATATATTGTCAATGATCGCCACAATAAGTCAAATTAACATCCTTCCTTATACATAGTCACAAAATTTTTTTCTTGTGATGAGAACTCTTAAGATCTATCCTCTTAGCAACTTTCAATTATACAATACAGTTTTATTGACCATAGTCACGGTGTTGTACATTTTATCTCCAGGACTTTATAAATGGAATTTTGTATCTTTTGACCCACTTTCACCCATTTCACCCACCTCTACCCACTATTGCCAACCACCAATCATTTCTTTGTATCTATGAGTTCAGTTTGGGGGGGGGTGGAGGTGTGTTTTTTTAGATTCCACTCATAAATGGGATCTTGCAGTATTTATCTTTCTTTGACTTACTAAGCATAATGCCCTTAAAGCCCCTCTATGTTGTCACAGATGGCAAGATTTCCTCCTTTTTTATGGCCAAAACATAGGCCATTTTTTATAGATCCACCACACCTTCTTTATCCATCCATCCATCAGTGCACCCGGGTTGCTTCCACATCTTTGCTATTGTAAATAATGCTGCAGTGAGCAAGGGGATGTATATATCTTCCCGAGTTAGTGTTTTCGTTTTCATCTGATAAATCCCCAGAAGAGGCATTGCTGGCTCATGAGGTAGTTCTATTTTAAATTTCTTGAGGAACTTCCATACTATTATCCACAGTGGCTGCACCAGCTTGCATGACCACCAACAGTGCACGAGGATCCCCTTTCTCCACATCCTCACCAACACTTGTTATTTCTTGTCTTTTTGATGATCGCCATTGTAACAGGTACAAGCTAATATTTCATGGTTTATTTCAATGGTTTCGATTTTCATGTCATTGCTGATGAGTGATGTAGAACATCTTCTCATGTGTCTATTGGCCATCTGTAGGTCTGCTTTGGAAAAATGTCTGTCCAGATCCTCTGCCCATTGTTTAAACTCTTTTTTTTAATTTTTATTTATTTATGATAGTCACACAGAATGAGAGAGGGAGGCAGAGACATAGGCAGAGGGAGAAGCAGGCTCTATGCACCGGGAGCCCGACGTGGGATTCGATCCCGGGTCTCCAGGATCGCGCCCTGGGCCAAAGGCAGGCGCCAAACCGCTGCGCCACCCAGGGATCCCCTCTGCCCATTGTTTAATCAGACTGTTTTTGTTTTGTTTCATTTCATTACTGGGTTGTAGGAGGTATATATTTTGTTGTTTTATGTGTAATATACTTTGAATATTGACCCCTTCTCATATATATGACCTTCAAATGTTTTCTCCCATTCAGTGGCTGCCTATTCACATTGTTGATGGTTTCCTTCGCTACGCAGTAGGGTTTTAGTTTGATGTAGTCCCACATGTTTATTTTTTCTTCTGTTTAGGATAAGGATCTTGAGGGAAGGAGCTTATCCCAGATTATCCAGATGGATTTTAACTGCAATCACATGTACCCTTGTAAGTGAGAGGCAGAGGGAGATTGGACAGGCATGAAGACAGAACAGAGGTGTAGCCATGAGCTAACGAATGCCAACAGCCACCAGAGGCTGGAGGAGGCAAGATTCTCTCCTAGAGCCTCCAGAGGGAGGATGGCATTCCCAGCACTTTGATTTTGGCCCAGTGAAATTGATTTTGGACCTCTAGCCTCCAGAACTATTTTTTTTAAGATTTTATTTATTTATTCATGAGAGACACAGATAAAGAGAGAGGCAGAGACACAGACAGAGGAGAAGCAGGCTCCATGCAGGGAGCCCAATGTGGGACTTGATCCCGAGACTCCAGGATCACGCCCTGGGCCAAAGGCAGGCGCCAAACCACTGAGCCACCCAGGGACCCCCCCTAGCCTCCAGAACTTTGAGAATAAATTTCTGTTGTTTCAAGCCAGCAAGCATGTGGTAATTTGCACAGTTAGCAGCCACAGCACACTGGTGCAGCCCCACAGAGGGGCACTGTGATCCCACTGGTGTGTCCCACACTGTGTCCCACTGGTGTGCACCAGACAAGGGGAACCCCGGAGATCTCCATCATGCCCCACAACCTCCCAAGAGCCCAGGACCCCCCTCTCCCTCCCTTAGCCTCTCGTGGGCTGGGGGGACATGCTGCAGGGCTCTCTCAGCCCATCTGATGGGACTTCCCAGTCTGCTCTGCTCTGCTCCCCAGCATCTCAGTGGTATATCAGGAAGTCAAGTGTCCTGGCCTCATCAGGATGTGCTAACAGGAGGGCATGGGTCCTGCCTGCTCCTGGAATCCTACAGCATTCTTCTGCCATGCTGGTCCCCACTTCCTGGGACAAGGCAGGGGTAGGGGACAGATGGGACAGACAGGTGGGAGACAGACAGGATCCCCACATTTCCTCACCTTCCCTCCAATGCTACCCCCCTCCCCCGCTTCCTGTCTGGTTTGGACTCTGGGCTGCTGGACTCTTCCTTAATTCTTCCAAATGTGTTGCTTATACTCAAACCTCAAAAGCCAAATACTTGCTTCCTTTATTATTTGTTTTCCACTCTGGCATGAAGTTTCAATCCCCTGGGAGCCTGAGTGAGGGAAAGGGCATTCGGTTAAAGGAACTATGGAAGAAGGAAAATAGATGTTTAGTAGCTCAATGTGACACACATTACACATATGTTGCATATCTATGTTACATATACATCTATGTATCATACATGTGTATAACATATACATATAATCAAATGGAAATTCTACCCAAAAAGACTAAAAGCAGTTACCTTTGAGTCACATATATTTTACATGTTCATTTCCCAAAATATCTAACGTGAACACATCTTATTCTTGTAATTGAGGAAGAATTGTTATTGTAAAGAAATGATTTAAGAGGCATAATGTTAGAAAACAATTCTAAAGCAGGTAGGAAGCAACAAGCTTCCAGCAGCCAGTCAGCACAAGCAATAACAGCCATAGTTCACAAGACCAACTGCTTAGAAGGACTGCTATTCTTAGGCCTGAATGCAGACGGGAATTTCTGCCAAGGATCTGTTAGACGCATATTCTTAATCTGCTTTTTTGCAGAGAGAAGAAAAATGAAGCTGAGTGGTAAAATGCGTTGCCCAGTGATAGAGCTACAAAGAGGCAGAGCTGGTATTGAACCCACGGAACAGCCATGCAGACTGAACCTTTTTTTTTTTTTTAAGATTTTATTTTATTCATGAGAGACACACAGAGAGAGGCAGAGACACAGGCAGAGGGAGAAGTAGTCTCCCTGCAGGGAGTCCTATGCGGGACTTGATCCCAGGACCCCGGGATCATAACCTGAGCTAAAGGCAGATGCTCAACCACTGAGCCACCCTGGTACCTGCAGAGTGATCCTTTTAAAACATAAGTCATGGGTGAAGGTGGTCAAAAGGTACAAACTTCTAGTTATAAACCTGGGAATGTAGTGCACAGCATGATGACTTACTAGTTAATAATACTGGGTTGTATATTTGAAAGTTGCTAAGAGAATAGATCTTAAAAGTTCTCATCACAAGAAAAAACAGTTTTTTGTAACTATGGTGTGGTGATGGATGTTAAATTTATTGTGATAATTATTGGGAGTGTATCAAATGATCAGATCGGACACTTAAAACTAATACAGTATCACACGCCACATATATCTCTACAAAGATGAGTAAATATTAGATAAATCAAATCAGGTCATGTCACCCCTATGCTCAAAACCTCCTGTGGCTCCTTAACTGACTCAGGGAAAAATCAAAGTCCTTCTGATGACTTTTAAGGGCTGGTGAACTAGCCCAGTAGCCACACTGGCCACATGCCGTAATGTTCTCCTGTCCCTCTTCTCCACCCAAAAGAAACTGAGTCAGATCCACCTGAAGGCCTTTGCCCTGGCTGTTCCCCTGCCCCCTGCCTCACTCCCACATATAACTATGTGGCCAAGTCCCTCCTTTCCTTCAAGCTTTTGCTTAAAGTTCCTCTTCTAAGGAGCCATACACCAACCACTCTATTTTAGATTGTAACCCACTCCCTTTCCCCACACTCCCCCTGGCAATGCTCTTTTTATTCACAGCACTTGGCACCTTCTGACACTCACGTTTGCTGTCTGTCATCTGCTCCCTCTGCTAGAAGGCAAGTTCTCCAAGGACAGGATTTTTACTCTTTTACACCGATAGATTACCTAAATGCTGTTGACAAGACCTGACAGTGTAAAAGCTCACCGAGTATTTGTTAGGTGGTTGAATGATGCTCAGAGAATGCTCACCACCTTGCCTGGCTCATAGTAAGTGCTCAGAGACGGCGGCTGTCAGGGCAGGGGACCACTTGCGTTTGCATGTATGATATTGGGTCAGATTAGGCACTAGTGATGGGAAAATCCTGTCCTCAAGGATTTCCCTCTTTCTCACGAGTTTTCTAAGTGCTCATGAGACCCACAGTTAAGTATGAACAGTCCCATCTTTACAAGTGAATGAACTAAAGCTCGCTAAGTCAGGTAAACTGCCCAGGCTCAAGTTAAAGAATGACTCTTTCTGACTCGGGGAGATCTTGAGATGGTTGCAGCAGAGCTGGCAAGCTAAAGGCTTAGCAAAAGAGTAACAGCAAGAGAAGGCTGGACTGCACATACCAGGGGGCAAGGACCAAAGGGGCACCAAGGCACAGATGTGGTTGCATGTGGGATGTGTTCTAGGGCAACCAGAATCAGGTAAGCGCAGCTCTGTGGCACCCACTCAGGTGAAGCAGGAGTTGGTGCCCAGCCCGGAGGTAGGATGTGCCCAGGTTCACTATCAAGATGGGATGAAGCTTGCAGTCAGTAGCCTCAGCCCTGGTCTCCACCTTCACTGTCAGGAACGGCCCCCTGACCCTGCCCTACATGGGTCTGCTCCAGGCTGTGGTTTCCTTGGGTTTGGAGCTCTGGTTCCTCAGCACCCACCCTGGCCACTTGGCAAACAGCCTACAGAAACAACTCTCAGGTACCTTCACTCAGTCTGCTGTGAGCCTGAAGGACATGAAAAGGCAAGCCAGAACCTTTCCCCAAGCTCCTTAGCAGCTTGGGTTTCAGTGGGGAACTGGCCCCATATATAAAGGTAAGGATTGATCCTTGTAAGCTAAATTTTTCCTTGTAATTCTTGTGCCATGATCATAATGTATAAGGATTAAGGTTTATTGAATACTGACTACATACTTTTACATTCTTTACTTAATGTCATTCTTTTTTTTTCCTTTAAGATTTTATTTATTTATTTATTTGAGAAAGAGAGACAGTGAGAGAGAGAGAGAGAGAGAGCATGAGCAGGGGTAGGGGCAGAGAGAGAGGGAAAAGCAGGCTCCCTGCTGAGCAGGAAGGCCCCCTGCCCCCCGAGGGGCTTGTCCCAGGACCCTGGGATCATGACCTGAGCTGAAGGCAGATGCTTAACTGGCCAAGCCACCCAGGCACCATCAATTTCATTCTTTTTAAAAATTATTTATTTATTTATTCATGAGAAACACACACACACACACAGAGAGAGAGAGAGGCAGAGACACAGGCAGAGGGAGAAGCAGGCTCCATGCAGGGAGCCTGACGCAGGATTCGATCCCAGGTCTCCAGGATTACGCCCTGGGCCGAAGGCAGCACTAAACAGCTGAGCCACCCGAGCTGCCCCCCAATTTCATTCTTATAACAACGTTGCAAGGTCAGGATGACCTCTCCATTTTACTGAGGACCTGTGGTTTGTGCAAGGCCACCACTGGTGCGTTCATCCTACCCCCACCCCTTCCTTTATTTGTACATGGAGGTTTTCTAAGCATCCTCCCCTGACCCCCCCCCCCCCGCCGGCCTAGGAGGGCACAGGTGGGATTTGAACGCAGATTCCATTTCAGGTAACGTTTATTGGGAGCCTTCCATGTTGGGTGTTTGATCCATTTCTTAACCCTTAATTCTTGCAACAGCACACCAGGAGGGAATCTGCTGTCTCTTTTTATAGGCAGGAAAACAGAGGCTCAGAAAGAAGTGGCTGGCCTAAGGCTACCCCACTGGCAGGGGGCAGAGCCTGGGGCCCAACAGATCCCCCATGTTCAATCCCCACCTCAGGTTTCACATTCCAGCTCACATTTGTTCTTGGTTGGGTTCCCTCATGCCACTCTGGCCGGGTCCTGGGGTTTCATTGCTCTCCACAGAAGCAGCCCTGGTATCTAATAGCCCAGCTCTCAGCAGGCTCTGCGAGAGGAAGGCAGCAGAGGGAAGCACCCCGCCTTGGGGAGCCCACAAGTGTAGCCCTTGTTTGGGGGGACCACTCCCTGCCCAGGGCACTGGGACGCAGGGAGGGACAGGAAGGGGGCCAAGCCACCACACAAGGGGTAGGTTGGGGTGTCTCCAGGCCCCAGAGAAGGCCCAGACAACCCTGGCCAGGGGTTACAGCCACTCCCTGCTTCCCTGGCGGAGCCAGTGCTAGGATGTCTCGGGGTCCTGCGGGCTCCCCCCACTGTGCTGATGCCCTTCACTGGCCCAGAGCACCTGCGCGGCAGAGGGGTGGGTGGGAATTCAAGCTCATCAGGCCAGGCCGCCGCTGGGTTGAATCAGGAACCAGGAAAGGGGCTTCGGGAGAAACTAGAACCACCCCTCCACTGGGCTGGGAAGACTAGGGGGCCCCTCGGCTGGGAGAGGAGTCTGGAGAGGAGAACACGGAAAAACCAAGACAGGGAGAGAGGGACAGAGAAGGACACACAGACGCCAAGAACCAGCAGAGAGAGAAAAGACAAGAGAGCACGGAGGCCCAGAGACAGACACGCGGAGAGGACAGGAGAGTCTGAGCGGAGGGAAGAGGGACTGCCCCCTCCCCAGGTCACGACGGGAGAGGCCCGGGCAGCTCCTCAGCTGGGGTTCGGCTGCAGCCCGCTGGACTCTGGGAAGGAGGCGGGGACCGCACCCATCTGGAAGCAGTCAGGGTCCCTCAAGGAGGAGGGTGTGGGGACGAAGCCAGGCATGAGCCACGTCTGAAAAGTGGCAGGATTTTGCAAAGGCCTGAACTGGCTGGGGGCAGGTCGGCTCCGCAGACTGGGTTCTCCGGTCTGATATTTCTCAGAGGGCCGAAGGGACAGCGCCCCCAGGAATCTTGGGGTCCACAGGAGGACTGGGTGGGCAAGGTGGTCCGAGGGAAGCCCGGCTCTCTTGCTGCCACTCCTTTGCAGACGGAAAACAGAGGCCCAAGGAGGGGAAATGTCTGGCCCAAGGTCACACGGTTTCCAGGTTTTCTAGAGCCGCTGCCCCTCCCAGTCACTCATTCAGGGATTCACTCAGTTATTCCACAAGCATTGGCTGGAAGTAATGCTAAGTACTGTGCTAGGTACTAAGGGGACCCGGATGAATAGTAGATGACCTCCCCTCCCCAGAGAGAGGCAAGCATGACAACACAGCCCGCTGAACGCTGTGAGGACGGGGAGTTCTGGGGTGTGGAACCAGCCTAGGGGTTCAAGGGTAGTCCCCCAAGGAGGAATAACAGGGCTAAATTGAGAGGTGAGTGCAGCCAACCAGGAAGCTGGGGGCTGGGGGTGGGGGAAGGGGAGGGCATGCCCTGCAGAGGCAACAGAATGAAAAAGTGCATTGCGTCAGGGTAACAAAATCCAGCCCACTGTGCATCCCAAGACCCAGGGAAGCTCGGTTATTCTGTTTGTTATTAATCTGACTTGCCTTCCAAACCACGCCCGGCCTTGGTTAGCAGCAACATATTACATAATGTCATCTAAGTGGTTTAAAGCTGGGTCTGACCTGATGTAAATAATCTCTTTAGTTAATATTCAGTATGTCTTATATAAAAATGTTCCATCCTTCAGGTAGCTTCCACCTCCACCTGCCTCCTCAGGGGTATGTGTGTGTGTGTGTAGTGTGTGGAGGGGGCCCTAATGTGAGCAACCGGGCAGATACAGGGTTGCCCTGCAGAGCAGCTGGGGTCCATACAGTCTGCCTCTCTCGGGTGATGATGGGGTCCTCACAGGAGATCTCCAGCCCAGGCCCAGGGGTGGCCCTGGCTGGTCTGGCTACACCTTGCTGGGTGCTTACAAAACCACAGTCTCTCACTTGTCCCCCATCTGGTCCCCTGCTCAGTGGTCTCGCCTCAACCTCTACTGCCCTGATCCTTTACCCTCCCAGGACTATTTGCTCACATGTTCTCAGTTCAGCCTCCAGGTTACTTGGAATGCAGGACAGCCCAGGAAAACAGGTGCTTAGGACTCCCTCTCTGGGACCACGGTGTAAGGCTGCATGCCCCTGTTGCTGCATGGTATTGCAGAGGATGAATGCACCGTCCCCTGTTCTTGTATATTTACCTCCAATTTTTCAATATTATGAACAATCCCTTAATATAGGTCTTTGAATCTTTCTTTTTGTGCACATATGCAAATGTTTCCTGAGGTGGATACCAAGAGGTGAATCACTGGGTCAAATACACCAAGGTATGAATATTCTAAATTCTGAATTGAGTCTGTGAGTTGGCCTCCAAAAGGGCTATGCCAACTTACATTGCCACTCATCAACATTGGATATCATCGATATTTTTCAAGTTTTGTCAAATTTTTGAAATTTTTCATCATTTCTTATTTGTCAAACTAATTTCCCAAGTAAGATTCCCCCCTTTAACTTCCATTTCCATGAGGAGCAGCAAAGCAGGCATCTTAGCATGTGTAAATCCACCTTATTTCTCTTGTGACTTTTCTGTTCAAACACTTTGCCCAGTTTAGCATCAGGTTGCCTATCTTTTCTTGTTGATTTATAGAAGTTCTATTTTCCAGACATTGATCCTTTCTTATGCATGTGGCAAATATTTCTCTTGACTCGTCATTCAAGTTTTGACATTATGCTGTCTTCTTTTACAAAGAAGTTCCTAACTGACATGTGGTCAAATATAGTAAACTTATCCTTTAGAGCTATTGTCTTTTATTTTATACTTTGTTGTTTTCTGAGTTAAAGCCAAAAGTTGCTAGGGCCTCCTGAACGGTCTCCCACATAAGGGACTCAGTGCCTGACCCATAAATGATTTAGTCCAACTTTCCCGGCCAGTGACAGAGCAGCCACTGCCACCATTGCTCCTGTCTGTCACCCGGCATTATCCGGCATCACTTGGCCCCCCAACTGATCCAACAGCCAAAACAGGGCCCTCTGGCAGGCCACATGTTCCTCCAAGGGATCACCCCATCATCTCCACTCCAAGCTCAGATAAGGGACGCAGATCTGCCTGCTTGGCCCAAGACCATGGCAGTCCTAGTAGGGCAGGGTTCAGCCTCCATATTCCTATGGATAAGACTTTGATCCCTTTTTCTTCTCTGGAATCTGGCAGCTTTTCCTTTTCAGCCCACAAAACACTCTAATTACACTCTAGTTCCACTCCCTGTCCCTGACCACATTGTTGGCCCCACCCAGGGGTGGCTGCGTTTCCCAGAGCCGGGCAGAAGGCATCTGCCTCACTCCTTCCCTCGCAGCCCCTCACACCCTGACAGCCTGAGCCCATGCTATGCAGCTTTTCAGGATCCCCTTTCTCACTTCTCATTTCCAAGTAACCCCAGGGCCTGGGATCCAGGTATTTTCCAGTGTCTATCTTCTCAAAAATACTGATCTGCTGCCCCTTCCCCCTGAGGACTCCTCATTTTTGTAGGACATCTGGGGGCTTCCCCTACAGCAACATTCTAAGAAAGGCCACACTCGGGAATCCCAAGGTTATTTTCTGCCTAGAGCATCTCTCATTAAAGACAATATAACTTAGTTCCTCACAGGACAGTCCTTCTGAGCCCATTGCCCATCTGAATTCTAGAGTGACCACTAAGGTATATATAGACATCCAGAGTAGCACCCATCAGCCACTTCGCCTGAAATGTCACCATAAGTATGTCATTCCATTGTGTAAAATACCTTTTGGGGGAGCTTTCTTTAAATGCAAACATATTCCACTCTTTATGCTTTAGTATGAATTAGATTATCACTGGGTCCCCTTGTGACAAGAAAAACTATGACAACCAGACAGCCCAGATTTTCCAGGGACATCCTGATTCTAAATATTAAAATATGATATTAATTGATAGCTGTATGACCAAAATTTGTACTCCCTTTATGTCAGTCTATTCTTTTCAATGGAAGTATTTAAGTGTGTGACTATATATGGTTTAATTTTCATAAGTTATCCACACTTAACCCTGTCCCAGGCCCTGAGCTAGATCTAGGGATGCCTGCACAAAGATGCTGTACATTGATTCAAGGTGAAGCTCATGGCCACCAGGGAGGACGGGGGGCAACAATTCTATCCTACAGAAATAAATGCTGGAATAGAAGTTTGGAGCCAGTGAGGTGGGTAACTAACTGCCTGAGGTGGAGGGAAAGGTCCCGGGATGTAGCTGTATGGAATAATAGACTGTCAAGGGCATGCAGGCAGACAGAACAGCTGTGTGAAGGCCCAGAGGCCAGAGACAGCATCTTGCTTCTGGGGAATGGCCCTTGACACTTTAGGGCCAGAGGACAGGATCCATGGGGTATGAGAGGGAGGCAGCAAGACGGGGGCCAGGTCACAACAGGTCTTGCATTTCCCAGGCTCAAAAGGAGCTTGTGGGTTTTACCTTGATGGCAGTCAAGAGCCCACAGAGTATTTTCTTTCTTTGTTTTGAATTTTTATTGGCACACTTGCAGAAAAATTCACATATCATAAGTATACATGTTGACAAATTTTTACAGGAAATACACCAATGTAACCAGCATCCCAATCAAAATACAGAACATGTTCAGTACCAGAGGTCCCCTCGGGCCCCTTCTGGTCATTATGCACACATACACCCCCACGTTAACCCATTGTCCTGATTTCCAGCACCATAGTTTTAGCTCACCTATTTTGAACTTCACTTAAGTAGAATCACACAATATGAACCCTGTGGTGTCTGTGAGAGTCCTTGAAACAGGTGCTAGAGTGGTAGCCTGAGCGGACACTGCTGTCTGCACGCTTACTGCACTGCTGATGGGCACGTGGGCAGTCTCAGGTCTGGGCTCTTTGGCACAGGGCTGTGGGCTTTACTGTGCATATCTTTTGGAGTTCATATATACACACTTGGAGGAGTAGTTCAAAGAGTGGAATTCTGGGTCAGAGAGTATACCCATGTTCAGCTTTAATATGTGGTGCCAAATCGTTTTCTAAAGTGTTCATAGGTGAAACATTTCAAGCAAAGAGAAGGCAGGGTGAGGCAACCTGTCTCTGAAAAGTTGGGGTGTATGGGGCACAGGGACATCCCAGGGGTGCTGCCCTGAGGCTGGCGGGTGGTGGGTATGGAGCTGGAGGAGTTTGGCACCTCAGCCAGAGAGGGAGGTCAGGGAGTGGTCAGAGCAGGGAGGACAGAGAACATGTGATGTGGAGAAGGCCTGGGACCAAGGACGGGCCTGGGACACAGCAATGGGGTGGGACACAGGGTGGGTATGGAGACAGAGGAGCCTTCACAGGCTACTGAGAAGGCACAGCCTAGGAAAGAGGGAAGAGCCCGCCAGGGGGATGGAGGCGAATCACAAGCACTAAGGGGAGTGTCTGAAGAAGGGGGGCAGGTCTAGAGCACCAAAGACACTAAGAGGGCCACCAGTTAGGAGCGCACAAGAGGGGTCCATTGGATTTGATGAGAGCTTTCGGGGGACCTGGTGGAGGGCATGGCCAGTGGGGTCAGTGTGCGTGCCAGTCCACACATACATCTCAAGTGTCACGTGATGAAGCAACAGAGAGATAAGCAACAGACCTGAAGGGTTCAGTACTGCATCTGGAAGCTTGACATCAGCCCTACTGAAATCATCCTTCCTGGGGGCGGGGGGGCGGGGGGACCTCCTGCCAGGAGTGGGTGCAATCTGCTCCTCCCTCTGTCTCCCCTCTCCCCAGCACCCTCCTGAGCCGAGCTTCAGTAGGAGCTGTCCTCAGGGCCTATCATCAGGTGATGATGCCAAGGGGTTAAGCCTGAGAAGCCAGGCAATTCTCTCAGAAGCTCAGCTGTTTATCTGAAGCTTAAAGTTTACTAGAGGGTGTAGAAATGGGAATGGTTTCTTGAGATAAGAAAGAACAAAGAATTCCTCCCCATGCATTGTTCCTGATACAAAGCAACCTGGGTCACTGCCCAGGTCCTCTCCTTCCTGGAGACACCTTGCCATTTCCCTTCCCCAGGTGTGGCACTCATGCCAACCCCAGGAGACCTCCCTCCCAGCACTAATGATGACAGCCACAGGTGAGCACTGAGCCAGGACCGCAAGCTAAGTGCTTCCCTCACAGCCTTTCTTTCAACTCTCAAGAGAATCTGCTGAAGAGAGTGGAGCACATCATTATCGCCACTTTACAGGCAAGAGAACAGATCCAGGGAAGTGAAATGACCTGCCCAAGAGTACTGGCCAGGAGGCTGCACACACGGACTCCAAAGCCTCTAGGCTTTGGTTACTGAACTCCCTCCCCCCAGCCTCTAGGGGGCCTCTGGGTACTGAACTCCAAAGCCCCACCTAGTCAGTCTCCCCATCCAGGCTCTTTGAATCTCAGAATCATGTTGACCACCGGCTCTGTCCTCTGGGAAAGCCGAGACCTACCCCTTTCCTCTCCACTTCCTGAAGCAGGAATTCTGCTGTGCATTACAGAACAAAAGGGCCACTGTGATAAGGTGGAGTTTTTTATTGGCTGCATGACCTTAGGCAAGTCATTCTCCCTCTTGGAAAGTCTGCTTTCGCTATAAAGTGAGGATAATAATCCAACCTACCAGGGTGGTAGTGAAGAGAAACTTGAGCTGAACATGAAGGACAGAGTCAACTGCCCATCTGGTTCTGGTCACTCACACTTATAGTCACAGTCAAGCCTACGGTCACACACACACTCATAGCCAAAAGTGTATACTCTGAGGAGTTACCTGCTGCCAACTGAGTGGAGGGTGCCATCAGCAGCCAGTGGGCAAGATGCAGAATTCTGTGACCAGAGAGATGTCGTGGTCCTACATAAAGGGGGTTCTGTGTCAGTACCCCCACTCCAAAAAGGGAGTGTTGCTTTCATGTGGGAGGGAATTTAGTGCTCCTTACAACACAGTAACTTGGGGGCGCTGACCTTGGAGAGCTATGACATAGGCTCAGGTTGGAGAAATGGATGGGCTGACTCAGCTGTGCTCCTGGGGTGCAGGAGTGTGACCTCCATGCTTAACTTCTCCTGCTGCTGGATATAACTCAAGTCAGGTGAAGGTCCTCTCAGATAATTCAGGGCCCTGGGGTGCTAGAGTTCTGAGGTAGGTACGGTGTATAGTGCCAGGGCAATGGCAAGAACCACCCACCCTTGGTCCCTTACATTCCATGATAGCAAACCCTTACTATCCCCTCATTCCCACTGGTGGCCCTGGCCACCAGCCTCTGTATCCACTGGCATCCATAGAGGAGCACGCATTCCCATCTGATCAGACCCATCTTAGATCTGGCCAAAAGGGACTCCTGCCTGGGTCTTGTGCTCTCGAGGCTCATCCATATCACAAAGACTGAAATATAGGTATATAGATGCAGGTATATAGATTTAGTCTTGTAAGAAATTATTTTGGAAGCCCACTAAACAGACTGAGCAAAGAAGACCAGAGTTGGAAGTCAGAGACAAACTCTCTCCATCCCTGTCAGGCCAGAGGCCCCAGGACTGAGAATACACCACTGTGTGATCATCAATCATCTCTGCATCAGACACACTGAGGTGTTAGGAGGTAAAAGGGCATGGAGAGGCAGACCCCTCACAACCCACCCCCCACATATCCAGGGCTCTCAGCTGCCCCCAGCATGCCCAGGCAACCTTGGGTCAGCATAGCTGGCACCGTTAACCTCACAGCTAGTCTGAGTATCCCTCCAAGGGGGTTGGCACAGTAATTAAATCAGGCCCAGGAGGAGGGATGGTAATTGAGTGCAGGAAATTAAAGCAGCAACCTCAAGCTCCTGAAGAAAAACAGAAGCCCCGAGGCACTCACCTGGGACTCCCCTGGTCAGAGCTCTGGGAACAGCACAGGGAAGGTCGCAGCTGTGGCCTCCTCCCACATACACCAAACCTCAGAGCTACAGATCCTGGCAGCCTCTGTACAGCTGAGGAGGCAGGTCCAGGGTGGAAGCAGGGACTCCTTCAAAGGTACAGAGCTATGCTGCAGTGGAAGCCAGGTCTTTTGGTAAGAGAGGACTCTTCCTACTTCCCCACACATTGCAGGAGCCATGGAAGTTCCAGGCTTGAGACTCACTCCCACATGGCTGGGGCTTTGTGTCCTCATCATAACATAATGATGTTAATGAGACCAAGGCACCGAGCCTTGTCCCTAGGCTGGGCCCTCATCCCCTGACTACAGCTCCTACTCCCAAAAGGCATAATCTTAAGAATAATTGGTCAAATTCAGTGGATAGATTTTCTGATGGTTGGACTGCTTCCATCTCATCTGACTCCCCAGACCCACACAAGGAAGCAGGCAGCCCAAAGCACATCTCAGGTTGATCTATCAGTGGTTTGCGAGCAATTCAAAGGCAGAATTGGATCCCACCTCTCCCTGGGTCCCCAGCGCGCAGAATAGAGCTTCTCACAGAGGCCACAAGGGTACTTGATGTGAGGAGGCAGGGCAAGATGGTGGAGGAGTAGGGTCCTCAACTCACCTGGCCCCACCAACTTACCTAGATAACTTTCAAACCATCCTGAACACCTACGAATTCACCTGAGATTTAAAGAGAGAACAGCCGGAATGCTGAGAGAAAGGTTTTTGCTTCTAACAAGGTAGGAAGGTGGAAAAAAATAAAATAATAAAAAAAAAGGGTACTTGATGAATGAATGAATGAATGAATGAATGAATGAATCATGTCTATTGTGCCTAGAATAATATCCTCATAGCAATAACAGAGCACATGTGACCTAGCACAGTGCCAGGAGAGACGTTAGGGTGAATGGACGTTTGGTGTGCTGCCTGTTTTCCTTTGTTTCTCCAGCTCTGTTCACCAACTGTCCACACCTGCTCTGTGTCGCAGAGGCTGACCTGAAGGGACTGCATCAACCGGCCACAGTGCCCTTTGGTTTCTGGTTGGAGCAGCCGAAGGGAAGACCAGCAGAAGACAGAAAGGGACAGAGGAGAAAGGAAGAAACTGGGGTACTTATTTCTCTGTGTGGTGTCTCAGACTGACAGATCTCTTGACAAGGAGAATTGCTCCTGTCAGGTCCTCTATCCTCAGGTTCCATTAATATCTTCCTCTCCTCATTCCTTCAGGTTCTGGGTAATATCAACCTTGCTGTTCCTAACTCTAGGACACTGAAAAATCCTGTGTGGTTTCCCTTCACACCACACCTCCTCATCTTAATAAATAAACCTACCTTGAACCTTTATTAAACCTACCTTGAACTCTCCTACTTTAAGTGTAAAACTGTTTTCTACTGGGACTCTATCTGATACAAATGGGTAACTGGTTGGATGGATGGATGGATGGATGGACAGATGGACGGACGGATGGATGGATGGATGGATGGATAAATGGATGCATAGGTAGATGGATGGATGGATAAGTAGATGGATGGATGGGTGGGTGGATGGATAGAACTAGCATAATGGAGTAGTTAAGAGTCTAAGTCTTACAGCCTGGATTTGTATACTAGCTCTACTACTTATTAGATGTGTGAACTTGAACAAGTTATATAATGTCTCTAAGATTTTGTTTTCTCAGCTGTAATATGGGAATAAAAATAGTAACTTACAGAGCTGTCGTGAGGATCAAATGTGATAATAAATGCAAAGAGTTAAGCATCTTGCTTGGCACACAGTAAGTGCTCAATAAATGGTCACCACTGCTACTATGGCTGACCAGTCAGATGGTAAGATAAAGGCCCACCCTGCCTCTCTCAACTCAAGCCACCTGAAGTTCATGAGTGAGGTCAAGCCAGGTTGTGGTATAAAACATCTGAGTTCTTTCCTGGGGGGCTGCCAGACTTCCCTCCCTCCCCTGAGTCTGGCTGTGGAAAGCACTGGTGTTCTCACCCTTCTCCCTGAGCTGGGTGGGTGGGTATCTGAGGCGGGCAGACAGACAGCTCTGTCTATCTCCTGCTAGGCGTTCCCATGGTCTCACTCCTCTTTCTCTAGAGTGGGAGTGGGGGCATAGCCGAATACTTGGTGACATGAATGACTGTAGGAGCTCAGCTCTGACACTGCAGCCCACTAGCAAGCTTCCCACCCCCACCACCCCCCCTTTCAGGAAGCCCAGTAAAGTTCAAGAGCCACAGGCCATTCTGGTAAGGGGCATCTCAGACTATAAGCCCCCCAGTGAGGCTGAGAGGAGTCCCCAGAATCTCCCTCTTTAGAGGCCTGGACAGGGAGGAATGGCCCTGTCACCAGCGGTGCAGCCTAGCACTCCACGATGAACAGACCTGAACTCTCTGCCGCTCAAGCTGGTACCTGCAAGTTGCCCATCCCCAGCACAGCTGTGCACACACTCCCCGTGGCCCCCATGGTCAGTGAAAGTTCACTGAGGCCCCCTCTGAATGAAGGGCCCCCCAGGCACTGGGGACACAAATGAGGTCCCAGCCTTCCAAGCACATAGCACACACCCAGAGGGGGTCACCGTGGGAAATGGATGAACTAAAATCCACTTTTACAGATGTGAACAGAGAGTCCCAGAGAGTGTAGGGACCTGCCCAAGGCCACCCACCACTTTAGGGCAGAGCTTGTTCCAACCTGCTTTTCCAACTACCAGGCCAGTGTCTTTCCATCTCCTGAGTCAGCAAGAGTTTCAGGAAAGGAGACAAAGCAGTTCATGGCTTGAGGCCAGGGGATTGAGGGGCTTTGGAAACCGACCCAAGTTCAAGGCCTTGTCCCACTGCTGGCTTGCTGGGAGATGTTGGTAAGTCACCTGATCTCTCTCGACCTCAACGACCTCAGCTTTGAAATCAGAAGAATAACTCCTCCTTGCAGAGAATTCCCCCAAGAACATAGAACATACTGCTTTGTGCCTGAATAACATGTGTAAGGTTGAACAAAAGAAACCGTCAGTGTTTCATACCATGGTTTCACCCAATTATTATCATTTTTATTAGTTTTAGCATAATCGTTTTCAACTGTGTGCTCTTGTATAGATTTCTGTATCTCTCAGTCTCCTCATCCAAAAAAAGGAAGATGATATGCAAGGCACGTTGCCTAAGACCTGGCACATAGTAGGTGCTCCCCAGAGCTTGGTCTCCTTGGTTCCTTCCCCTCTTCACACAGTCACTTCTTCTGTGGGGGGCCACAGGGAGACCTGTCCTCTCTGCTGAGTACCATGGCCCATGAGTGTGAGAATGAGATCGTGACTGAGAGACAGGAGAAGACTAAGAAACTGGCTTCTAAAATCATCTTCTCGGGGAAATGTAAAAAGTTTTAAAAAAGAAAAAAAAACTTACCAGGTCATGTTTTCAAAAAACTGACACAACCCTATGCAGCTGTGCCTGGGACCTTGGGTCTCAGGGACAGGAGAGCAGAGCACTGAGGGCAGAAACCCCCTCCTCCACTCCCCGCCTCCTCCCTGAGCAGGATTTAGGAAAAGAGTCAGTTCTGTGTGTTCTGGGTCACAACTGAGCAAATAGCCAGAGTGTCCTGTTGGGAGCTGGATGCACGTGGAGCCATAGCACAACTGAAGATTCCAGATCTTGAAAGGCCTTTCGTCTCTGAGTCCAACCTCCTGCCTCTAAGTAGGTGGCTGTCAGACTCTGAAGGCAGAGAGGCTGGCACCCTCCAAGGATAGAGATGCCACCCCAACTTTCATCCTCTGCAGGGCTTTCCCTCACACCAGTCAAGAAGCCTCCCTTTGGTCCAGCCTCTTTATCCATGAATAAATAGCCCCTGATCGCATCTCTATGCTGGCCTGATGTGTGCTGGCCCAGGGGACACAGGAACAAACAGACAGCCCCTGTCCACTCCCCAGTCTGTGTCACTGGATTGCCATTGCTTGTCAGGCACAGCCTGGACACAGGTTAAGACTAGACCCAGGTGAGGCAGGACCCGGATGGACAGGGCATGTGAGAAGTACTCCCTAAACAGTTGTTCAGTGTTAAATGAATGGATGAACAAATGAGTGAACAGCCAGGCTTGACAGGAACATTTTCAGGAACCAGGCTCACTGCTTCACAGGTAGCCCATTTCCACGAAGGAAACAGGTTGGAAATGGTGGGCCTAAGCCAAGGCAGGCCCAGCTGGGCCACCCAGGTCTCCTTCTGTCCCTGGGGAGGCGCTATCCACTGGAGAGACCACAAACCTTCCCACACACGCCTGGGCTTTGAACCAAGAGCTGGGGGATCCCCAGGTCTGGAAATTCCCTTGCGCCTGGCGCTAGGTTTTCCCATTCCACCCCACCTCCCCCACAGGCCTGGACATTCTCAGCACCGTTTCTTGGAAGGAGATACTGGCTTATGATCAGAAGTTCTGGAATTCACTACAGGAAGTGGCCATTTGAACAGTGGGAAAAGAAGCCTGGCTAGAGAACCAAGAGCTTCAGGTTCTGATCCCCCCTCCAGCAATTACAGGCATGGGATACAGGCTCGGATGGACCTGGGTTCAACTCCAGCTCTACTGCTTAGGTGCTGTCTGATTTCTGGCAAGCTGTTCACCTCACTGAGCCCTGGTTTCCTCTTTTTAAGAAGGGATTATAGTATCAGCCTCAGCAGATTCCTCTGAGGATTATATGAGGAACCAGATATTCAGCTGGCATTCAAAGATTCTAACTTACTGGTTGCCAAGTAGCTCATGCTCAGAACCCCCTGAGTCACCCCTCCCACCCAACACATCACCATCCCCACCATGATTCGCAACTAAAGGGTTAACATCTAGCCCAACAGAGGATCTCCAGGACCCAGGTGACCCTTCGAATTGGCTGGTGCCATATTAAACTAATGGGTGTGAGAAAATGCTTTATAAACTGTCAGGTCCTGGCTAACCCCTAGATCCACACATTCTTCGCAGACCCACCTCCTTTTTTTTTTTTTTTAAGATTTTATTTATTCATGAAACACACAGAGAGAGGCAGAGACACGGGCAGAGGAAGAAGCAGGCTCCCTAAGGGAGCTCGATGCAGGACTCGATCCCAGGACCCCGGGATCACACCTGAGCCAAAGTCCGAGGCTCAAGCGCTGAGCCACCCAGGCACCCCTCAGTCCATCTCCTGATCGTGGATAGTCTGCCCTGCCTCCTGGACTCCCATCTGGATGCCTCCTGGGCATGGCATGCTCTCCACTCCCAGACTGAACTGGTCCCTGGTAAACCCAGCCCAGGAATTGGCTCCACCTCTACCCAGCTGCTCCACATAGCAGCTTCCATAGCCAGGCTCTCCCTGTCTGGCGATTCTGTGTGCCCTAAGTCCCCCAGATCCATTCCTCCTTCCTGCCCCCACCCACCCCCTGCCCTCACCAGTCCTCTGCTGAATCAGAACAGCCTCCTCACTGGCCTCTGCACTCTGACCCCTCCTGGGATTTCATTCTCAGGCATCGACACCCTCAGCGATGGCTGTAACGGGTTGGGCTCCTGGTGAGGACTGACCAGAGGCTTATTGGGGATGGATCCCAAGATCAACACCTGTGGGCGAATGACGGAAGCAGGACTGGGCAGAAGGACAAGTTGGGCTGTGAGGCAGATCCCTCCAGAACCCAGCCACCCCCTTGGGGAGCTCTGCCATTGGAATGAATTTTTACAGTTGGGCCAAAGTTAGGCATGGGGGCTGGGCGGTAGAGCCCCATTTGGACCAGTCAGTAGCTGGGGGCTGGTCCCAAGAAGGGGAGTGACATTAGATGAGGAGGGTTCCTTCAGCCCAAGGCAATGGCAGGGAAGAGAGTCCCAGCCTGTGAGCTGTTGCCATCAGAGGGATGGATGCTCCGGCTGGAGGCGGGAGGCGAGGGAAGGTGGGAGCGCCCACAGTGCCCACTGAAGGTACCCTGGGTGGAGTCGATCCTCAGGAATGTTTGTTTTGTGATGAAAAGCATAACCTTCCATTGCCTTCAAGATAAATTTTGAATGTCTTCATCAGCACACAAGGCTCCTCATGATCTGACCCAAACACCCTCTCTGTTCCTCTCATCAGCCCCCTTCCCTTTTGCTCTCACTCTCTTCCCATATTGTGCTTCTCGCAGTTTCCCAAGCCCCACATGCCATTTCACACCTCTGCTTTCACACGTTATTTCATCTGCCTGCTATGCCTTTAAATGGAAGAAGAAATCCTACTCTCTTCTTCCAGCCCCTCCCTGCTCCTCCAGCCAGCCTCTGGCCAAGCTCTGCCTCCCCAGGAAACCTTCCACTAATTCCTCCAGGAGCGAGCGCTGCTCCCCCTACGTCTGTCCAGGGCACTGAGATCTTCATCCAGGCTCAGATCCACGGGGCCCAGTGCCTTGAGCGCCGCCGGCAGCCTGAGACAACCTGTGGGG